CTTATAGCTAACCCGTATTCAAGTTACTAAATATATTAGAAATTAATATAAAATACTAAAATTAATACTTATATATCCTTAATATTTTAGCCTTAGGCTTAAGGTACTATAATAGCCCTTTTTTCTCCTAATTTACTAAGCTAATAATCCGCCTTATAGATATCTCTCAGAACTTTATAAGAGTATTATCTTAATTATAAAGTTTCTATTCTTCTTATATTACTTACTATAAAATATATAGAAAGGAAACTATAATAAGACAAAAATCTATATAAAGTATACTAGAGTATATAATATAACTTAATAATAAAATAATAAATTAAAAGTATAAATAGTAAAGTATAAATAGTATATAGTATATAAAAACTCAATTAATTAAATACTTATAAAGAATTATTCTCTAGAATTATAGAAAAACCAGCTTTCTTATATAATTTCTACAAGTTATATATAAAAGGCTATAGCCTTTACTATATAACCTAAATCTTAAAACTGTTAAAATAATATGATTTTTAATAAATATGGCCTGCCGTATTATATTAGCTAAGTAATAGTTTTATAGTTTATAGAAAAAGTATTTTAGATTAGAAGCCAGATATTAGTTAAGGTTTTTATTATATCTAATTTAACTAATTCTATATAAAAGCTTATTCTATTTTATTTTTAATATTAGAATATCCTATATCTTATATTTGTAGTTTATTATAACTTGAATTAATAATAGTAATTTGTTTTTCTAGTTAGGTAATAGATTATTAATAGCTTTATATAAATAATTAAGAGAAAATATATTATAAATCTTAATATTTTCAAATAGTTTAATTTTATAGGAATTATTAATTTAATATAAAATCGGGTAAAGCCCGGCTATTTAATAATCTAGCTTATAATTAGAATATTATATTTTCTATTTTTTTATTAATATTTAATATTAGTATATTTTTCTATTTTTTTATATCTATTTTATATTTTCTTTATTTTTTTTTATAATATTCTTTATTTATCTAGTAATCTATTAAGTCTTTATCTTATTTAGTTTATCTTGGAATATAATTATTAGAATTAATTAATTAAAGGAAATTTATAGAAACCGATTATTAAAGAATTTATATAAAAATATACTAATAAAGCTATATTAGAGAATAAATTAAATATAATTAATTATTAGTAAATATTTATTCTAGTTATTTTAATAATATATAATATATAAATATAATTATTAATTAATATATTAATTTATAATTTCTATTTATTTATTAGTTTATAAGTAATATATTATTAATAGTTTTAGTTTTATATTTAGAATTTTATTAAATTCTTTTCTAAAATACTAATATAAATTATAAATTATAATCGGAAATAGTAAAAACTAAAGAGCTATAATAATAATAAATAGTTTAGAAATATATTTTTGTTATATTTTCTATTATAATTATTTTATAATAAAGTATAGAAATAGCTTATTTAATTAATTAATTAATTATAATATATATAGTAATATAGCCGGATTTCGAATTAGATATTAATTTGAAATCTATTATAATATATTATTATAAATAGCTCGGAACTAGCAAAAAATAAAATAAATCAGGAATTTTATTTTTTAATATATTTATTTATATAATTAATAATTATAAATATATTAAATAATATTATATTATATATTCTTCTAGTAATATTATTACTATAATAGCTTATATATTTTATTTTTACTAAAATATATTATAGAAACTTAGTTATAAGTTTTATAAATTAAATTTATATATAATTATTTATAATATAATAGTAATTTATTTTCTATTATAAAATTAGTATTATTTCGTTTAATTTATTTATAAAGGGCTTATAAAAAAAGGCTTTATAATTATTTTATAGGATTTATTTTATTAAAATTATTATTATTTTTAAAAAAAGAAAGAAAATTAATTTCGATATTAAGATTCTGAAATACTTTTAGATTAATTTGGTTTTAAGAGAAAAAGGCTTTAATATAATTTTATTTTATTTTATTTTATTTTATAACTTTATTATTTTAGTATATTAGAATATTAGCTTTTATATTCTATTTACCGAATTTATATTAAATAATAAAATAGTATTTAGCTTATTTATTTATAAGCTTTTTTCTTATTATAAAGTATTATAATATATAATAATTTATATAAATCTGAATTTAATAAATAATTCTTTGAAATTCCGGATATTATTAATTCGAAAACTATATAATAGTAAATATCTCTTTATTATATATTTTATAATTATATTTTATAGGTATTATTATTTTTAAGAAAAATATTATATTATAATAAGATAGTTATTATAGTAATAGTAAAGAGCTTAAATTGAGCTAAAGGCTATATATCCGACTAAAAGTACTAGCTATATACTAAGTTATATATAGTAGTACTATATAACTAGTACTATATAATATATTATAAGATATTACTTATTTCTATATTATTAAAAGAAAATACTAGTAATAATACTATTTGAGATATTAGTTTTAATTATTAATTATTATTCTGGATTATAATAATAGAATAGATTTAATAATATAAAACGAGCTTTAAATTCCTTAAAAGTATTTTAATAAATCTTATTAAATAAAAAGGAAATATTTATATATATAAGGTTTATTAAAGGCTTAATAATTATATTATAATTATAAATAAATCTTTTATAAAAGTTATAGAATTTTAGAAAGACTTATATTTTTTTTATAATTTAAAAAGCTTTCTAATTCTTTATAATAGTAATTTTTTCGGAATTAATTTTAATATCTTTTATAGAAATAATAAAGCCAAGATATTTTATATATATAATATGAAATTTATATTTCTTAATATTTGCTTATAAGCCTATATTTTAGAAATATTAAAGGATTTTCTTTATATAAAATTCGTATTTTAGCTTATTATTAAAATAAATAAAAATATTATTAAAATAAGCTATATAAAAGTTATTAAAATAATTAAATAGAATATTATTTATATAATATTAATAGATATTATACTCTGCCGCTTTACTAGTAAATTTAGTATTATATAACCGTAATAATATATACGGCTGGCTAGTATTTAGAATACTAAAGCTCCTATACTTATAAGCTTCTTTTCTTAGTTTAGAATTCTCGGATTAAGAGCTACTTTACCTTACTTTTCAAGCCCAGAGACCCGGTTTCGTAATAATAAATAGCTAGCCTATTAGTTAATCCGAAAAATAAAACCTTATATTTATATATTCTATAATATATATAAAATATTATTAATTCATTTAATTTAGAATCTATATAAATTCGGTAAAAAGCCTAATAAATTTTAAATTTTATAAGGATTTTAGCTTAACTAATTCTAGTTAAAGTTTTATTAATAAAAAAATAATATTTTTTATAAGTAATCTAATTAAATTTCTAGTAATTAATATAGAATTATAAGCTTTTATTAGGCTTTCTTATAAAAGGAATAAGGGCTATAAATAGTAATTAGCTAAGAATAATAAAGCCCTTATTAAGGTTTTCTAAAAAAAATATTTCTTTATAGCCTCTAATTCTATTATTATTATTTTATATAAAAGGCTATATTTTAAGTATTTTTCTGTTTTCTTTTCTAATTATATTTTATAATTATATAATTAATAGAAAAATAAAATATTAGAGGCTTTTTTTTTTAGAAAAGATATTATTAAATTTAATATATTATTTAAAAATAATAAATCTTTTAATATTAGCTTTTAAAAAAGACTGTTTTTATTATTCTAGAAAACTATTAATTTTATAAAGGCTTATAATAAAGGCTTTATTCTCGAGTTATTAGAAATTATAATATATATTTATAAAGCTAATACTAATAATCTTAATAATAAAAACTTCTATTAGTTTTCTTTCTATATATAATTTCTTTTAATATAAGATATTTATAAAATAAATAATATTAGTTAGGAAGTTTTCTATTTAGTAATATTTATTTTAAATATTTTATTTTTGATTTCTAAGAAATAAAAGTAACTAGTATTAGTTTAGGTTTTTATCCGGATCTAATTCTGAATTAATAGAATTATATTTAGAAATAGTATTATTAATAGAGCTAATATATATAAAAAAGTTAATAATAGAATTATTCTTTATATTATAATTTTCTATAAAAGTTTATTTTCTAGCTATTTATTATTAGTTTTTTTATTAAGTATATAATTTCTAGCTTTAATATTTATTTAATAATTAAAGTAAAAAACATATTTCGAAATAGAAAATAGAGCTTTTTGAAATATAGAAATCTTTTATATAACCAAAAGTAATAGAAGAAGGCTTTTAAACTATATTAAATATTAGTTTTAAATATTAAGAAATAGATTAAAATATTTTAGCTATTTATAGCCGAGAATAAAATTATAAAATCCAAGTTTAAAAATTAATAATGAAATATTATATTATTGTCTTTTATTAATAATAAGATATATTTTTAGGAAATAAATAATATAAGTTCCTAGTTTACTATTAATTCCTTAATACTAATAGGCTTAAATAAGTATTAGAACTTAAAATTAAAAATATATATATATATATATATTTATAATAAAAAAAGTATTAATAAATGCAAAATTATTTATTTTAGAATTACTAAAAGAAGAAATATTAATTAAATATCTATTATAAAATAAGCTATAGAATATAATTAAATATAGTTTTTTTATTTAGCTAATTTAGGTTAATCTTTATAAAATTAATTTCAAGTTTATCTAAAAAAAAGTCTTTTTTTTTTAAATATTTTTATTTCTCGATATATTATTTATATTAGCTTCTATAATATTACGATAAGGTAATATTACAGTAGTGGTAAAGAGGTTGAATTGAGCTAAAGGCTGTGTGCCGGGCTAAAAGCACTGGCTATATGCTAAGTCATGTGTAGTGGCACCACGTGACTGGTACCACGTAACAAGTCCTCCCCTTCAGACTCAAAAGACGACGTCCTCGTCGCAATACAGCTATTCTAGGCTACCCAAATAAGAAGTCCACTAGTATGGAGTGTCCTTCTCCCCCAGGAGCTTGCATCTCACTCCCAGGGCCCTGCAAGACAAGCAAGCAAGCCATGGTGACGTATATCCCAAAATATGCCCCCTACTTGTGTATTGCCTCCTTCCCTACCACACTCTTGTTTCGTACCGTATCCCGCTTAATAACCTTCCAGATTACGACCACCGCATATGCCTTGTGCTCTAGTATGGAGAGACACTAGCTCGAGGGAAGGTGAGGATAGGAGGTGACTCTGCCGGCGAGGGTGTGAGTGGCAGGAAGCTCTCTCTACAGGGGCGAGGGGAACATCGCTTTATTACTGTAGTAATTCGTACCGTATCGTAAGGTCGATCAATCGTAATTATTGCATTACTACCATATGTCACAATAAGGTAATGTTGCAGTGGTGGTAAAGAGCTTGAATTGAGCTAAAGGCTGTGTGCCGGGCTAAAAGCACTGGCTATACGCTAAGTCACGTGCAATGGCACCACGTGACTGGTACCACGTAACATATAAGCTTATTATTTTCCTATAATAGTCGGACTTAACGTCGCGCTAAAGGGGCCCTATCCTTTAGTCAGGGAAAGCAATATGTCCCGAGAAAGCGAAGTATCCCGTACCGATTATAAAAATTTCTAATTTATATGGAATACCTATAGTAAAAATTAATTAATTTAATTACTACTAGCCCAAATTACCCTGAAAATCTGTCAAATTCGATAGTAATAGCTCGCCTAAGTAACCTCCCCAAGAATATACTTCTCCGTAATATACCAGAGAAAAATAAGCTCTATAAAGGCTATTTAGTTCCTTAAGGCTAATCCAGAAAAGACTCCTATAACTATAGTATATATATATTATATACGAAATAAAGATATAGTAAGGAAAGTATAGTAGAGAGAGAGGAAGAAGATAGGGATAATAAGAGTATAAAAGGAAAGGTAGAATAAAATTCTCTATCCTAATTAATATAAGATATTAATTTAGTATATAGTATTATATATAATTAATAGAAAAAAGAGAGCTATAAAGCAAATAATATATAACTATATAATATAGATATAAATAGAGGATAATAAAATAGCTCTATTTTAGAAATAGTTTTCTTAATAGCTAAAGAATATTTCAGAACTTTATATAATTAAGACAAAGCCTATTATAAGCTACTATATTAATCTCTATACTAAATAGAGCCTATATAACTAGTTTGAAACTAAATATTATCCGGTATTAAAGGAAACTAAAATATACTATAGGAATCGGATATATAATATAAATAAGAAAGAAATACGAATTTATATATCTATAGGAAAGGAAATAGTTATTCTAATTAGAATTAAGAAAATATATATAAAAATACTAGAAAATCGTATATTTCTTATAATAATTAAGTATATATCTATAGATAATAAAGTAATTCCTCTAGTAATAATTATTTCTGGAATTATAATTATAATTTCTTGGTTCTATAAAAATATAACCGGCTATAAGATTATTATAGTTTCTTTTATAGAATATATAAATAAGAGTATTTATATAATTTAATTAGATTATTTTATTAAGTATAATAATTATAGTTCTAATAAGAAATAGTATATTTTCTTAATTAATAAAGTAACTTATTACTAAGTAAATAATTTTATCTTAAAAGCTATATTTAATAAGATATAAATTATCTAATTCCTCTCTTACTAAATCTATTTACTTTAATTATATAATATTAGTATTTTTAGGAAATAGAAATACTACTAATAGATTAATATTATAAATGCAATTTACTTATATAAGCCGGAATATAATATCTAGTACTTTTTTTATAATTTTCCTGAAATAAGAAAGAAGATATTTACTATTTATATAATTAAATACGCCTTTTAGAATACTGGAATTTGGCCTATTAGTTTTAAAATAGTATAAAGAAAGCTTAAGAAGTATAGTAAAAAGAAAAGAAAAGATACTAGCCTTTAATTTCTGGAGTTTGGATCTGAATTAGAAACTAAATCGGATATAGAAAATATATAATTTACTATATCTACTTCTGCTTTTGCTCTTGCTTCTATTTCTATTTATAAATATTAATTATCTATTCTTCTAAAACCTCTTTCTTTATATAACGAATATATTCTATGGCTTAATAATCTTAATAATAAGATTCTAAATACTTTAAACTCCTCTTCTTATAAAAAGTATTTAGTTATAATTAAGGCTACTAAGAACTACCTAATACTTGGAAGTTTATAAGAGCTAGATATCCAGAATACTTGCAAGATATAGGTTAAATATTATAAGGCTAAGCTAAATATATGGCTTAGTTTCTAAAGAAAAAAATAATTAAATATATTTAATACTTTAGAAAAGAAAAAGATTAAAGTAAGAAATATAATAGAAAAGAAGCTAAAAAAGGCTAAAAAATAGCTTATAAAGGCTAAATTAGCTAAAAAGAAAGCTTTTAAAAGAGTAGAAATTGCTATATAAATAGTAGAAAGAGAGAGAAAGAAAAGAGAAAGAGATCTAGAAATATAAGTAAAAAAGCAAGTTCTTAGAACTAATATAATTATTTCTTCTAAGCTTCTAATACTAATTTATAATCCCTAAAACGAATCTATAAAAAGCGAGCTTAAAGCTATTTAAATTAAATACTAATTACTTTATAATAAGATAGCTAAGAAATAAGCTAAATTCGATTATATATAGGCTAAAGTATAATAGGCACATATAATAGCATATAAATAGGTATTAGATATCGTGAATCTAGTTTCCTATTTTGGATATAGCTTATAATTGGAATTATATAAATTATATGGGATTTCCTAATTAAGTAAAGGGCTTCGTATGCCTGGCTAAGTACTAGAGAATATATAGAGAGATACTTCTAGCTTTAGAAGGGGCATTAATTAGTCTCTTATTAGAATTAATTCTTGGAATTAGTTATACTTATAAGTATTACTTTATAGCTTACTTACCTTAATTACTTATATATTACCCTACTATTACGTGCCTTATATTCTAATTAATTTAACCTTTGGAAAGCAGTTTATTACGAGGTAATTAAGCTATTAATAGACAAAACCACTAATAGCTAGAGCATTAACTAGAAGAAGCGCCTCTACTATTACTAGGGCGACCCAGTTAGGCATCCAGGGAAGCGCTCAGTTAGCTACTCTAGCTGCCGCCTAATTAGAAGAAGAGAGTAGAACTCAGACATCCCCAGAACTAGCTAGCAGGATAATAATAACAGAGAAGCTAGCGGCGGCTTGTTATTACATTACTGAGTTAGAAGCAGAAATATAATAGAGAGAGGATCTAGAGAATCTAGAAGCTCAGATTTGCTATCTTAAGAATATTTGGGCACCTATTATAGAACCTATTATACTACTAGTAATATATTTGGTTTATAGGGCTCTAAAAACCCGAGAATTACTAACTTATAAGAGAAAGAGTATTAAGGAAGCCTAGGACTTCTTCTACTAGGCAAAGCTAAAATAGTATAAAGATAGCGGAATTATCTGAACTATAGATATAGTAAAGGTTATATATTATACTTCCTGTTTTAAGAATATAGCTAGAAATATCTGGAAATATAGGAAGTAATTAGTAAGTATTAATACTATAAATTAGAAGACCTTTATTAAGTTTATAAAGAATTCTATCTTGAATCCGGAAAACCGTAATAATAATACCCTTACTAAGTTTAAGAATATAAAATAATAGCTAGATTAGAATATCTAAAGCTTTATATCTTACTTAGATAGCCTATTAGATAACTTGGGATATATGAGTTTATTATAAGAGCGGGATAATTTATTTAGTAGCTTAAGGCAGAAGATTCGGGACAAGATTAATTACTAAGGAAATACTTTATAAGAAAGAGAAAAGCTTATTTCTATAGTATAGTACGGCAGGCCGTACTCGTCAAAAATCATGTTATTTTAGCGGTTTTGAGGTTTAGGTCACATGGCAAAGGCCGCGGCCTTTTGCACGTGACTTGCGGAAATCACATAAGAAAGCTGGTTTTTCTGTAAACTTAGAGAATAATCCTTTATGAGTATTCAATCAATTGAGCTTTTATATACTGCATACTATTTATACTTTACTATTTACGCTTTTGATTTGTTATTTTGCTATTAAGTCACGTTTTGCGCTCTGGTATACTTTATATGGGTTTTTGTCTTATCGCAGTTTCCCTCCTATAATAGCTATAAGAGTTAAGAATAACTTGAACTAGTTTACTTAACGGGAATATAATAATAAGCTAATAGATTAATAAAAGAAAGGAAATTAGAGAAAGAAAAAAGAAAATAATAAAGAGAAATAAAAGAGAAATATATTTCTATTACGAGATTTATATAACCGGAGTAGTAAAAGTATAATAACGAGATCTAATATAATACCCGTATCGGAATCTATAAGACCGGATATAACTTACTTTACTTACTAGAAAAAGAATTACTATATTACTACCTGCCCAAATTAGGGAAAACCGACTTATTATAATTATAATAAGTCTAGCTATAAGGCATATAAGTACCTAGAACTAAAGAAGCCGAGAAACAAGTATGCCCTATAATAGTTATACTCGTTTATATTATAGAAGGCAAGGCCCCTAAAACGAGAATAGTAATTAAGGTTATTATTAAGACGAGAAAAAGTAGGTAAAGAATTAAAGTATTAGTTAACTCGGGTATAGAGGCCAATTATATAAAGAAAAAATTAGCCTTAAATATAGGTATTCCGTTAATATTAAGGGCAACTCTCTTATTCTTACTAAAAAAAAAAGAAAAATTCATTTATATAAAAATTATATTCTTGAAATTACTACTAAGAATATATTAGGGAACTAAAAAAAGACTAATATATATTTTATATTATATAATTTTAATCTGAATTATATTAATATAATACTTGGATTTCTATAGCTTTACTAGGTTAATTCCCTGATTTCTTTTAGGGAAATAATATAGAGATATTAGATTTAATTATAGAAGATTAAAGTTCTAAATACCAGGAAGTTTACTAAAGTAATAAAATATAAGACATATATTTTTCTATTAACTACTTATCCTATAATAGATAGCTAAAGAATTATTACTATTACTATAAATGAGATAACTATATTTCTCAGGAAGTATTAGAACTTTCTTTAAGTATTCTCTATAAAGGCTATAAGTATACTACCCGACTATTATATAATAAAGTATTATATAGATCTGAAACCAGGATCCTAACTACTATAT